AGGGGGTCCAACCCGTTACTAGCGTGGTGTACCTAATAAAGTGGCCGGTGAGTGTATATTCCATAGAGGAACCATCAAAGACTATTTTATCACATATGAAATGTTACATACATTTTTTTCTAATACTTATTTTATATAAAATTCAAATTTTCAGATATTTAGTTTACTGCACTACAATTTTTTTTGTTGTCAACTCAAACAAAACTGTCACAACCATTTTCAGTTATTTGAAGTTACCAACATTTATTATTAAGTAAATCTAACAAGGCTAACTCAACTGGTTTAGCAAACCAGCATGATTTACTTTGACCTCCCAAATATAATTCAGTTGAAGCAACCAAATAACTTAGTTTTTTTGTATTATTAAGCTGACAAATTACATTAGTTGAGTCACTAGCTTACTTTTTTTACATAAAACCTACTTACAAATATCCATGCAATTTCTTTTTAAAGTTACCTTAGTAACTTTTCCTGTTGTACAAACCTAATATTTTCTGTTGCTGAGTTATGACAAAAGTATTTGTTCACTGTACTCAAACATTTAAGTTAAAGCGTTTATTTATTTTTATTTTTATTTTTGTGGCGCTCTGACTTTTAAAAGTAATTAGACAACTCACTAATTTAAAATAGTTTTGTGTTAGGTTTTACCAAAACCACCGTGAGCATTTTTAGGGTGTGTTGACACCTGTTTCTTGTATTCATTAGTCTCAGGGGTCACCACTTACAGCCTTAATCTTCAGGATCTCACTCCACCCTCTGTTCATCATGCTGTTCCTTCTTGTTGATTACTTTCAGATTCCACCTGCTGTCCCGTCAGTGTTATCTTTTATTTTAGTCCACTTTCACTTTATTCATTTCTTTTGTAACACAAATTAAGAAAGTAGTTATTAGAAGTCTTTATTTTTTTTTTCCTGCAAGTCCTGACAATAACATTAAGATGCAACCATACAAATTAGACTTTTTGTAATATCTCCATGGGTTAAAAAAGCAGTACATTTATGATAAGATAAACTTTTCTCAATTTCTTTTTATTTTTTTAAACTTTTCAAGCTTTGAAGCTGTGGTTTTTTTGATCAGGAGGACAATGACCTTCATTTGTGAGACATCACTGACAGCAACTGATGACTTCAATCTTACTTTCATTCAGAAAGTTTAGTTTCAACCTGTTTTTGTTACATAATTTGGACAACTGAAGAGTGGTTTCAGTGGAGTGACCCTGTCTAACTTACATATAAGCCTGGATATTATCACTGAAGCAGCACAAAGAGATGCTGTATTTTATTAAAATGGGCCCCAAAGGCAACAAATAAATGTTATAAATCAGAGGACCTAAAATAGACCCTTGAGGGACTCCACAAGTCAGGGGAGTAGCAGAAGAGGAACATTGACCGAGGTGAGCAGAAAACCTCCTATCTCGTGAATCTCGTGAACCACTGAATTTCATTAATACCTGCAGAAAGTGATAAATAACGACTACAACTGATCAACTTTTGGAATTAACGCATTTCAAGATGGCCGCCACAGCTAACTGACCTAACAGAACAAAATCACGGCTATAACTGCATAACTATAACTACACCTATAACTAAACCAGCAGTTTTACTGAAACATTTAGTGTGATTGTAACTGAAAGTGATCACCAACTCATTCAAACCTGTAACCAACCATAAGAATCCATCCAGTGGTTCACAAGATATTTTGCTAACAGACATGGCCACATTTGCCCCTCAGCAGCAGAGATAAACTAATGACTCTGTCAGAGTGAAAGCCTTCTGAGTAAAAAGCCATTCTAAAAAAGTCAAAGTCAAAGAGCAGCACATGTGGCTCATGTCTACAAATATCTCCTCATTTCCTTCCTTTCTGCCGCCAGGCCTGAACAGATCAGTCTGCTGCTCTTCCAGCCTTTTCAAATCATCACTTTTCACTTTTTCTCCAGTAAATGGAGATAATGTGATAATTATTTTTCCTTTATGTGTCCTCTGGAAGAATCAGTTGAGCCCATATGTGGTCTTTTACTGTGTCAGCATGAAGTGATGACACTGCCTGACTCTTCCTCTTCCTCGTCTGTGTGTCTGTCRTGCTGCAGAGCAGACTGTGCAGAAGCAGTGTGCAGTTTGTGCATGTATCTCAGCTTGGTTTGTGGCTTTTTTAAATACCTTCAAACAGCTGGGACTGTCTGACAGCAGAAACTTTAGACTAGAAATGACTCAGCTTTGTTCTTCTGCTTTTATGTTTAAGTTTTTTTCTATAAACAAGCTRCCTCTGCAGAGTTTTTGCTCTTTTAGCTGTTGGTCTGTGAACATGTTCAGCTCATTYAGGAGACGAGTGCTGTGACTTTTGCTTTTCTTAAATTTATATGTTTCAAAATACTGAATTATTCTATTTGGATTAATATTTTACCCATAAAAACACATTGAGTTTACTTCAGTTCCTTCCAAAACACGAAACATGAATGTTTTCTTTTGTCTCATTCTGCTTTTCTTCATTTACTTTCTGCTAGTTTTTACCATTTTGTTACAGCTTTGATCATTTTTAGCTTCTTGGTTCGGATTCTGCTTTTATCTTTTTTGTAACCATTTGACTAGTTTCAATTTCTAGTTAGCTTTTTGCTGTTTTTAGCTAAAATGTAGCTACTTTTCATTTTAAATTATTAATGTATTTTTTTTAGCTTTTATTTAGCCTATTGCTAAATTTAACTATTAGCAAACCTTTTGTTATTTTTACATTTAAGCTAGTGTTAAGCTACTTTTAGCTAACATTTAGCTACTTTTGGCTTTTAGTTACCATCTTGCCTATTTTAGCTTCTAGTTAGTCTTTTGATTTTTTTAAAAGCTAATTTGTGTAACATAGTTTTTTGCTAATCTTTAGCAACCTTTGTCTATACTACTTTTTTGCTACTATTTTACCAATTTTAGCTGTTTTCTTGCTGCTTATAGCTAGTCTTTTTCTGCCCCCCTCAGATGTAACAAACTTTATTAGGATTTTCAGGAACCATCAAGTCTCAAACCTTCCATGAAGTAGAACTCATAGAAAACCAGATTCTTGGTCTGCAGAGAAACCAGTTTCCCATCAGCGTGGACTGGGAGCTGGCAGCACACGGACCAGCTAAACCAGCTGGAAAAAAGATTGATGGCCAGCTGAGACAAAGAGCTGTTTGGACACATGGACATGAAGCTTTGGAGGAATCAAGGCRAGGCTTTCAGACTTAAAGATGCTGAACCAACTGTCAGGCATGGCGGTGGTAGCATCATGCTGATGGAGAAAAAAGACCTGGGGTCCAGGTGAAACCTACAAACATTAGCGTGGGTTATGGGTATATTTGAGCTTGTATGTATGAGTTTAACTTGTTTGAATGAAAGAAAACCAACTTGGGATTTAAAAACACTGAAGTTGTGAATCAGAAAGAACAAATCAAAAGAAAGGGCTGAACAGACGGAAACATCTGGCTGCAGCTGTTTGTAATTTTTATTTGTTTTTATTTTATTGTTATTCTTAAAGAGTCTCAAAGTAATKCCAAGTCTCGACAGAAGCAGCTGTGTAGAGTTATTATATAAAGCAAGGTGTTTGTGTGAATGCCGCGTCAGCATTCCGTCTCTGGATTTCCTCCTCACGGTACGTCTTATAAATTGTCACTATTTTATCAAATTATTTCCTATTTCAGTCATTCGTGGAAAAAAAAAAGCTCTGACTTGTTTTTTTTTTAATGTCTTTTTGTCTCCTTTTGCCTTGTTTAACTGTTATTTCTCTTAAACTAACCATGGAAATTCAGTTATTATTSATCTGACATTCACCTATTTTGATCTCATTTAGCAGTCGTTCATATATACAGCACATTCACTATAAAAATATGTTTTGTAATTTGAAATATGTTATAAACAACGTAAAGCAGAGTTTTAATATAAGACACACTCACCAGAAAAACAAGGACAGTCACATATTCTCAGAGTCGGACATGTGGGACTCCTCGAGCAAACAATTCCTCTTTCTTTCTTTTTTTTTTTTTTTAGCTCTTCCTCATGTTTTCTCCTCCCTCTTCTCTCCATATGTGACTCGTTTTGTTGACCATGTTGTCATTTAGCCAAAGGCAGGATTTTCTTCTTCCGCTCTGCCAACAGGTCTGTTTCAGTTTAACCAGTGTTGAGGAGAAACTCTTCAAACTGATGGAGTATTAGAGCCACAATACAAGTTTTCCATTTTGTTTTGCCCACTTTTTACCTTCAGGATCACAGGGCTCACTGGTGCTCATATCCACCAGTTACTGTTGAGGGATGAGATACACCCTGAACAGGTCTCAAGTCCATCACAAGACTACAAGTTTTTTTTTAGTTACAATAAAAAATAAATCTGTATTATGAGATTAAAGTCATAATATGACATGGCATGCCCATTTTTTGGTTCCTAGGTCAACTCAGACCTAGCCTGGTACAAACCAGACCCTTTTCCTTCACTTTGCTTCGTACGAGGAACAGTGAAAGGCAACTAGAATTGAACTGCATAGGAARKSAAGGGCCAGGCTAACTCAGACCAGCTGTGTTTGCAAAATTGTTTCAAAGTCCTCTTACTGATAATAATTTGATGCTGATGTGTTAAAAGATTAATAATTTCCTTATTTGTAAAATTGGTACCAAACTACAACTTCACAAGATGCTCAACTATAATTATTTTACTGCAGTTCGGCTGCTTTTCCTTTAGCAAAAACTTGAAGTTAATTTTAATAAGTACACTTGAGTATAAGTTTAAGTATACTATGCACCATTTACTTGTAGTGTACTAGAAAGTATACTGATTTAATACTTCTTCGGACTAAATTGGAACCTTATTTTTTTAATAAAAAAATATACTTTAAGTATACTGTTATAAAGTCTTTTTAAATTTGCCAAACATTCAAGTACACTCATCTATATACTACGTATGTACTACGTATATACTTGTGGTTCATATTTTAGCTTGTTGAATTATATTTATACCACAAGTATACTTTTCTTTATACATATGTAGGAGGGTGAGCTTAAGGTGGTGTTTTGTGACAGTCATTATCATGATTTAACAAATGCATAAACATTCTTAGTTAAACAACAAATGAATCACCAACAGAAGAGATTGTTCTGTCCATTATCTGATTAAGAGAACTGAGGAGTTCTCTTCCACGGTTAGAATGACCTGTCATGGCCTAAATAGAGTTCAGTTTGTGACAGAGTTCCTGTCCTCTCGTCAGGCCTGTCCGAGGCCTGCTTAGAGGCAGAAAATCTTGTTTCTTCACTCGAGGTGACCCCTACACATACTTTGCACTAGATAAATACTTCTAGCATTCATTTCAGTTTATTTAAGTGTACTTTAAATATACTTTTATGAATTACTAAAACTAAAATACTGTTTTTGCTTTTTTAGTTTATACTTGTAAGTTCACTACTTGTTGAATATTATTTATGTACTGAAATAAACTTCCTGAAGTATTCTTAAACATAACCTATACTGTATGTACACTACACTGTAACGTGTTTACAAAATCACAAGACAGAATCTTGAGAACAATTTTGATATATTCATATAACATTTTTAAAAAGTATAAGTTTAAGACTTAGTATTAATGCACTTATCTTAAACTTCTTTTTTTCAGTATAAAGCCATATGTCACTACACTATTCTTAAGTATATCAAATATRGTTTATGAAAAGTAAACTTAGAGTACACTGCCTCATTTTTAGTGTAAAATTGTATACTCATAGTACACTGAAATAAACTACAGTACTTTAAGGGTTCTCATAAGTTCTTATAGAATTATGAATTTAATCTCACAATTAGAAAATACTTTGTTGTATTTAAAAGCTGTAAGCTCTTAAAAATATTAAGTTTTACTTAAATAACTCAAACTATACATTCTGTGTAAAAACCTGTTTTTGAAAATCATTGTTCTGTTGTGTGCAAAATGCCATAAAAATAAAWACTACATTTCCCATGGTCCTTTCGTGCAGCTCTGT